GAGGAAGCTGAGGGGGGAGATGAAGCCGAGGGGGGAGAGGAGCTGAGGGGGGAGAGGAAGCTGAGGGGGGAGAGGAAGCTCCAGACCTGTACAGTCCACGTCTTCACACAGCACGCCCTCCGGGGTGCAGGAGCTGAGGGAGGGGCCCAGACTCAGGGAAGCTCGGCCATCCAATAGGACAGCACGGCCACCCTGTCCCTGAGCCTGGCCTTACCACTGCTGGCACTCGCCCTGCCGCCAGCTGTCCCCCAGGCTTCGGGGACGGCCACCATGCAGGCACAGGGGTGGGCATGGGGGCTGAGGGCAGGGCTGGCTCTGGGACTGCTCCTCCCGACACTCCGGGGCCCAGGAGCCAGACGTGGAGGACCTGGGTGGGGCCAGGGCAGAGAGGGTGAGAGACGCCCAGGGACCCTCCACCCCTCCTCCGCCCCCTGGGGAGATACCCACTGGGAAAGCCCAGGGTGGGCATGGAAGTGGCTAAAGAAAGACAAGGGTGACCAGGGATAGAAGCTGGGGCCAGGGCACTGGGGGGTGCAAAGCCACTGGTTGGGGGGCTGGGGTCTAGGAGCACTGTGTCAGAGAGGGACAGTGTCTAAGGAAGCAGGAGAACCGGGGTAGAGAGAGGGGACGCCAGCCTGGCCCAGCCCCGTACCGGAACCGGCTCTGCTGCCCCGCGGGCCCACACGAGTGGCTGCAGGGACTCCAGGCTGACCAGCGGCTCCAGGCGCAGTGGGCAGGGGGCGGGCAGGCCTGCGCCGTGCAGGACAGCTGTCCCGCCTGGCACGTGCAGTTGCCGCAGGCCTCCTGGTGCCGGCTGCCCGGGGCCCAGCTGTGGCCCTGGGCGTCTGTGCACTCACAGTGCCCGCTCGGCACGCAGCCGCCGTCCTGCTCCAGTGAGCCTGTGGGGAGGCGGCCCTCCAGCGCGGTGCTGGCACCCAGGTCCCCACCCGCGTCCCACTGAGCTGCCCTGAGGCGGGGGAGGGCTGGGACCCGCGCACCCTCGGAACAGCGGCAGCCCCGCTGGCAGGCCGGGCCGTCCTGGCACACGATCCCCTCCTGTAGGTCCGAGCAGCGTCGTGGGCAGCGGTTGGCACAGCTGACCACCTCCATGCCTGCTGGGCAGCCGCCCTCTGAGCAGATGGGGGGGACCAGAGTCACCCAGGGGACCATGCTTATCTCCACGAAGCTACGCGCCCTGTCATCCCTGTGTTGGTGCCCATGGAAACATGGGGTCTTGGGGACTCTGGGATTGGGACATTCTGAGTGACAGAAAGTTCCTCTCGCCTGCCTGTGAGTCCCCAGCACCTAGCCTGATACCCAATAAATGCTTTGTTGGGCTGGACTGAATTTGTGCATCTAAAAAAATCAACACTGTCACCAATAGGGCCTTAATATATGGATTTATCAGGGTGACGGGAGGGCGTGTCAGTGTGGGGGCGTCCTGATAGAGGTGGTGGACCCTGGAGAAACCGGGGTCCCTGGGGTGAGTGAGCACGGAAGGACCA